CCCTCCCCCTTCCCTCCTCCTCCCCTCCCCCTTCCCTCCTCCTCGTCTCTTCTCCAATATCTAGAACTTCCTGTCCTCACACCGTGGAGAAGTCGATTTGCAAGTTTTCTCTCCCACTTCAATCTCCTTCACTACTTGGTCTTGTTATAGGTTGCACAGTTCCAGGAGGGAGAAAGCCTGAAGTCTGAGTACCGGGAGCCCACTGCCTCCCTCACGGGCTGCGGCATCCTGTCGTCCAGGGACAAAGGACAGAGGTCCTCGCGGGACCAGAGTCCGGCCTAGAGGTCGCACTGTGCTACGAGCTTCCTGGAGGAGATGCTCTGCCATGGGCGTCTGATATGGGCGACAGGGGCGGCTCCTGGCAAGCACCCAGCCCATGAGGACCGGGAAGACCCAGGGAATGGAAGGGCTCTCGCTTGCTGAGCGTGTAACGTAACTGTCAGTTGTGGTTTTGAGAAAAACTCTTTGCAGGGCGGGGTAGTGCACAGCTGTAAATCCAGCACTCTGGAAGATCAAGGCAGGAGGACTGAGTTCCAGCCCAGCCTACGCAATGTAGTGAATTGGCAAGAGCTTCTCCCAAAAAAATAAAAGGAGCTGGGCAAGGTGGCACATACTTGTCATCCCAGTAGTGTATTCTGGAGGCTGAGGCAGGATGACCTCAAATTCAAGCACACCCTGAGAATTTAGCAACATAATGAGACCTTGTCTTCAAAAATAAATAAATAAATAAATAAATAAATAAATAAGTAAATACATACTGAAAATGTAGCAACCCCCAGGACCGCCAAAAAACAAAAACAAGATAAAGATTTTAGTCATCAGTTATGGATTCCAATTCACCTAATGGATATTTAGCTCAGTGGCACCGTGCCTGCCTCAAAAGCACAAGGTCCTGAGTTCAATTCCTGGTACGGAAAAAAAATCAAAACATAAACAAAACTAAATCATTTTCCAGAATTATACACTTCAACTATAAGTTTCAAAGAATGCTTCCCTTTCGCAAATGGGGAGGGAACCAAGAGATGGGAGTGGGGACAAAGAGGAAGATGTAGGGTGTACCACAGTGAATATAATCATTGTGTACTTCAAACACATACTAGTAAAAGTAAAACAAAAAACAAAGAATGCACCCCAGGGAAAGAACTCATTAGATATGACAAGGAGTAAACACTGTGAGGCTGCCTGTGAAAGGTCTCACAGGACGACCTCTGCCCCGAGTGAAGAAAGAGGGCAGAAAGATGGAGGTGGAGGGCTGGGGATTTAGCTCAGTGGTTCCGGCTCCTGCCTCGCAAGCACAAGGTCCAGAGTTCAATCCCTGGTACCAAACAAACAAACAAAAAAAGATGGAGGTGGAACATTTGGGCCAAGATTTTGTCTCCTGTTGGGCGTGGTGACACCTGTAATGCCAGAACTCGGGAAGCTGAGGTGGGAGGATCTCTGCGAATTTGAAGTCAGCCTGGGCTACCTAGCTCAAGGGCAGCATGAACTACCTGGCAACACTGTCTAAAAACATCAAAGGATTTTGTCACTTTCCAAGAACAGTGAATGACAACTGCTTCAACTGAGATACGGAGTATGTTTAAAATCGTGGTTTCATTTCAAATAGGGCGTGGTGACACACCTCTGTAATCCTAGCACTTAGGAGGCTGAGGCAGGAGGATCAGAGGTTGAAACCCAGCCTAGGCAAGTAATGATTTAATGAGACCCTGTCTCAAAAAAATAAAACAGGGCTAGGATGTAGCCCGGTGCCAAAGCCCTGAGTTTAATCCTCAGTACTGAAAGTAATAATATTGCGATTGGAGAAAAGGCAACATGTAGAGGAGAGAATTGAGGTCACCCGGAGAGTGGCAGAGGGGATCATGGAGGTGACTTGAACTCAGGACCTGGGGAAGGCCTCAGGATGAGGCGGTGAGGCTGCAAGGAGCGAGGGTCCCTGTACCAACCGCGGGGGGCACACCAGGGAGATCCTAGGGGCCACTGCACCCCAGGACCCGGATTCCTGCCCTATTTGGGGTTCAGGGTGTCCCTGCCCACCCCATGCCTGGACAGCTTGGAGAAGGCGCGGAAAGAGGTCACCGTGAGGTTGAAGGCCGACACGCCCAGGAGGACCCCAGGGCCCACGCAGCCTTCAGACCTACAACATCCCCACCAGCAAAGCTGGGGTTAAAGTGTTCTCAGAGGATTCGCTTAAAAAGTCCAGGGCTAGGGCCAGGGATTTAGCTCAGTGGTTTCGTCGCTTGCTGTGCAAGCGCAAGGACCCAAGTTCCATCCCCGGTACCCCCCACCAAAAAAAATCCAGGGCTAGGAGGACCCACACCGAGCCCCGCCCACTAGGCCTGGGAACAGCCAGTCACTGGCCACCTGCCCCCCCTTGCAGGGAGGAGCCACAGGCCTCTGTGGGCGGGGCCTGTATGCCCGGCCCCCGAGGGGTCCGTAGGTCCGCTCCCAGAGGGAGAGCAGACCAGCGTCCAGTCCTCACCTGCAGGAGTCCAGAGCCACCTGCTCCAGCCAAGAGGATAGGTGCCACCCTGTGGCGTAGTGAGACCTGGAGCATCCTGGCTTTTGGAGATTCTTAGCGCCTGAATAGAGATTGCTCTGGGGAACAGGATCGAGACTCCTTCCAAAGGCAACAGTGGGACTGGGGGTTTTGCTCAGTGGTGGAGAGCGTGCGAGATGCCCAGGGTTCATCCCGGCACCGAACACATTATATACGTTCTGCTCAGGATTCCTGCCCTTGTGTTTATTATGCTGATTGTCTTCTTCGTTCTTTTATTTTCAGTGCTGGGGATTGAACCCAGAGCCTTCTTATAGAGCCCCGAGTCCTTTTTTATTTTGAGACAGTCTCACTGAAGTTGCTTAGTCGGCCAGACTGGGGTGAAACTCGCGCAACTCCTGCCTCTGCCCGGAGTCTGGAGTTACAGTCGAGGGCCACGGGGCGGCTTATTATCTTTTGCGGGGCAGGGTGTCCTGGGGTTGGAGCCCAGGGTACCACCGTACCCACTGAGCCTTTTATTTTAAAATTTTTCTGAGTTTATTTTATAGGGATGGAGAGTAGGCACGTTACCCATTTGGAGCATTTTAAAATTAGTGTTTTGATTTTTAGAAACTGATACATTTTAGATATACATAATGGTAGCATTCATCGTAGAGAATTTGCATCTGCAGGTGACATATCTTGCTTCTTTTTTTTCCCAGTCTCCTCCCCTCCCTTCAACCCCTTTCCCCCATCCCTGCCTTTTATTATGATTGTGTGGTTGGCAGTGAACATTGTCCAGCAACTTCAAAGGACAGCTAGGAGTAGATAACCCAGGTCGGGTCTGTCCCCAAGAGGGGGGCTCACAGGAGCTAAGACTTACCTGCCAAGAGAGCTGAAGGTGTGCCAGGGGCCACGAAGCACATTTGCAAAGATTGTTTTTCTTTTTCGCTCTATTGAGGACTGAACTCAGGGGCTGTTTGAGCAGGCTAAGCAAGTGGCTCTTCTGCTGAGTTACATGCCCCAGTCCTTTTGGTTTGTTTTGCTTGCAGACAGGGTCTCACTAAATTGCCCAGGCTGGCCTCAAACTCTTGGCCCTCACCCCAGCCTCCAGAGTGCTGGGATTACAGACATGCAGCATCTTGCCTAGTCTGGGGTATTTTTAGTTTGTGTGTTGCTGAGGATCAGACCCAGAGCCTCACACACATTAGACACTCTACCACAGAGGCCCATCCACAGCCCAGGATTGATTTCTCTTTGCAGTAGTGAGGGTTGAACCCAGACCCTCACATGCTAAGTGCTCTGCTACTGAGCTACATCTACTTCTGATTCAAAAATATTCTAGAGTTGGGCAGTGAATGGCTATAATCCCTGTAGTCAGGAGGCTGAAGCAGGAGGTCGCTTAGAGTTCACTACTCTAGTGAGACCGTCTTATGAAAAATTGCTATTTACAGAAACCCATCAAACCACAAGTTGGGCACTAGGCAGACAATAAGGAAATTTAAATGAAACTTCAGAAAATATGTACTTAAGTGAAGCATTATGGCACAAGTTTGTAATCTCAGCTACTCACTTGGCAGGCTAAGACAGTTTGAGGCCAGTTTAGTGACTAGCTCTAAATTAAAAGTAAAAAGGGCTGACCAGGTGTGGTGGCACAAGCCTGTAATCTCAGCACTGGGGAGACTGAGGCAGGAGGATCACCTTGAGTTGAGGCCAGCCTGGGTTAGTGTGTTCAGAGCCACATTGAACTACAAAGTGAAACCTGTCTCGAAAAAAAGAAAAAAGGGCTGAGGTTCAGTAGTAGATTGACCCTGGGTTCAATTCCAAGTACTGGCAAAATTTTTTTTTTTGGTACTGGGGATCAAACTCAGGACCTTGTGCTTTCAAGGTAGGTGACTGAACCACTGAGCTAAATCCCCGGCTCTGGCAAAAATTCTTTAAAAAGGGGGGTGGGGAGGATAGATCTCAACAGTTCTCAAATTAATCTAATGTAAATGACAATTCCATATCCAAAGAGCAGTGTTCCTCTTTGTAAATATGTTTTCTCAAAACCTCCAGGTCTCAGTTTTGCAAAGATGTGAATTCCTGAACTAAAAGAAAAAACCTGGGGAGGAAAATGTGGAACTAAATTAAGGATTATGAGGTGAGATCAGGTCCTACAATGAGGTAGAGATGGCAGCTGAGCAGAGGCAGGTGCACTGTCCAAATGGGAAGTGAGCTACTGATGGTGCATCTTCCACATCAAAGCAGAATGTGGAGCTGGGGACTCAGCCTAGTGGTACAGTGCCTGCCAAGAATGTGTATGGCCCTGAGTCTAATCCCCAGCACAAGGGAAAAAAAGGCACTGAGAAATATTTAGGTAAACTGATAAAAGTTGAAAGTGACTGTCTTTAAAGAGTGACTATGGTCCAGGAATTGCCATATTTGTCTTTACTATAGGCAGAATTTATAAAAGGAAAATAAGGCAGCAATACAGAAAAAAAAATGTAGATTTATTGACAACTACTAGAGTAACACATTCAGTTAAATACAATTTCCAAGTATTTTAAGAACTTCTAGTAGGACTCCCTTGATTTATCTACAAAGGCACTATAATTACATTTTTTAGAACCTGATGAAAGACAAAATTATTTAGTGAAAACTGGAAAAACCCATCAACTACATCTATTTGAATAGATGCTATCTATTCAAATAGAATTTTATTAAATATTTGCTTGATAACTGGTACTACTATGTCCACTAACTGTAGAAAACAAACAACAAAAGAGATTTGCAATAGCTCATCATTCAGAATCTGTTATGGTACAGATTCTGAGGGGTCGTGACTCAGTTCCAGTGTAGAAATAAGGCCAAAGTGCTCCTCCAAAATAATCATTAAAAGTATACAGGAGAGATCTATCATTTAAATTGTAAAAGGAAACCTCACCCATTTCAGTGTCTAAGAAAATGCCGATCTTAGTGGGTATTACTTTTGGCAAAAGATTAATTTTCTTAGCACCGAATGCAATGTAACTAGTGTGACTACATCGCCCAATTCCCCATAGCCCCTCTTTTACTAAAAAGGGTTGATTCTGGTTCTTCTTCCTTCTGGGAAGAGACTCATTACAGACACCCAGGATCCACTCGGGCTTGTCTTTCACCTCCACCTCCCAGTACTGCCTGCCAGAGCTGTAACCCTTAGCCCCTAGTACAGCTGGCCAGATGTAAAACTTTTTTGGGCTATGAGGTAGTTTTTGCATATTTCCATAACGCACAGTTTTCTTATCTTCTGAGATAGTAAGTTTACGATGTGCTGTTTCAGGATCTAGGAGTACATCTACTTGAAATCGCTTGATAATTTTGTTTAGTCCAGAATATTGTGGAGGAAGCTGGCAACTATAATCTTTGAATTGGAATGAAAAAATTTCAGGGCATTTTAAACTTTTATATCTGTGGTAGATACTCTTAATACTTGTCAGCAATTCAACTTCTGACTTTATATGTTTGCTCTCTATCTCCTTTAATAGATATTTTAATGCAGAGGCATGCTCTGAAATGTCTGCTAGGTTTTCATTTACTTTTGCTGAAATCTCCCTCTCTTCATCTTGCAATTGCCTAAGAATAGTCTCTTGCTCATTTTGAAGAAACAGCATAAACTGTTCGAATTCAGACTTTATTTCTTCTTTCCTATGTTCTACCTTTTTCTTAAGTTCCACTGATTTTCCAGCCTGCATAGTAATCACTTTTTCAATTTGTTCCACTCTCTCCTTCCAGAGCTCGATGTGCCGCTCTAGCTGTTTCCTATGATAGACAGCGGCCTTCTCTATGGGCCAGACATAGTGCTGCTGGTGATCAGCAGAGAAACTGCACTGTGGACACAAAACCTCTAGGTCCTTTTGGCAGAAAACGGTCAGAACCTGTTTGTGCTTCTCACACATAACATTTCCTTCCTCCCTTTTTCTCTTGCTCCTTCTCAGCGGCAGTAGCTTAGCCACTTCAGTCAGATTACCTAGCTGGAAATTGTTTTGGAATTTTCTGTGTGGACAGAGATAATGGCAAGAAGGGCAAGGGAAACTGACTTTTAGATCCTTCCAGGACTCACTGATGCAGGGGAGGCAGAAGTTATGCCCACAGTAGATTGTCACTGGGTTTTTCAAGTATCCTAGACAGATGGGACAGCTAGCCTCCGTCTGGAGGTCTGCCAAGGCTGCCGCCAGCTCCATTGAATTGGAACAAAGGCAGTGGGCAAGGAAATGCTTCCTTAGTAAGCCTGGCTTTGCAGGGCGTATGGCCCAGTAAGAAGGGCGTGTCCTCTCCTAGACTACCTTGAACACCAACCAGCTCTCAGTTCTCCTGGTCAGCTAGCACACACCAAGAGCAGCCTCTAAAAGCCTGCTTAGCCTTCTGCACCTCAGCTTCAAAGTCCGCACCCAGCAACACTCTGGAGTCTTAATCTACTGTGCATCAGAACATATCAGCTGGGCTGCTGCACTTTCCATTTGGTCATCTGAGGTGAGCTTCACAGCTTTCTTATTGAGGAAAGTAACCCCAGGTCCAAAACAAGGACTCTTTCCTGTGGGTGAGAAAAGACACTTCAGTTAAAACTCTGATTCTATAATCACTAATGTTGTAAAACATCCACACAAGAGTCATACTGTTGTGTATTAAATTAGGTACAATAAAATCATCATAGACAAAAAATAAAATGTTTCTGTTCTTAGGAGATACATCATGAAGCAAGGGGGCAGTATCACCTGGATGGCAGCCATTTACTTTCATGACATTCAACAATTGAAACACACACACACAGCACAAATGTAGCAAAAGATTAACAACTGGTGAACCCAAGCACAAAGTATACTGATGTTCAAGCAAATATAATTCCTCCATCCAGCTTGCAAGACATCTAACTGTCAATGCAATATTCTTTCCCTTTCTCCTTTTCAGGACACTTTCCCCCAGCACTGGGGATTGAACCCAGGGCCTTCTCACTGAGCTACAACCTCAGCGCAGTTTTTTTTTTTCTTCATTTTATAGTTTGACACAGAATCTTGCTGTGTCAAAGCTATCCACACGGGCCCTGTACTTGGAATTCTCCTGCCTCAGTCTCCCAGAGTGGTAGGATTACTGGTGTGCACCATCAGACCTGGCTATTACTGAACATTTTCTGAACTCTTTCTGTTCTTTCACCCTCCTTACAATGTAGTAACAGTGAGAGTAGCAGTATGACATGGTTCTGACAAGTGAAAGTGGTTCTGTCTTGGTGATCCAGCAAGTTCCTTTTACTACAGAGACTTTCTCTTCATATCAGCAGAAAACAAAACAAAAAGCTGCAATGGTACTAGAAAGTTTCCATGTACAAATTATGTCCAAACTCAAGGCTTGACTCTGTCTTGGATCTGTGCAGGGAAAAGCTATTACAGCAACAGGCTATGGGAAGCAGTGCTGATGCAGTGGCAACACCTACAATCCCATTTGCTCATGAGGCCAGGTCAGGAAGATTGCAAGCTTGAGGCCAGCCCCTGCAACTTAGCAAAACTGTCTCAAAATGAAGTTAAATAAATTGAGCTGGGGATGTAGCTTTGTGTCAGAGCACATGTGTGGCACGCGAGTTCTCAGGCTCAATCTCCAGTGACACACCAGAGGGTAAATACTATTAAGAAGACCCCAGGTTTGAATCCTGGTTCAACTACTTACTGTGTGAAGATCTAAGTGTCTTTCTTGAATCTCATTTCTTTAACCTATAAAATAAAAATTATAATGATCTTTTTGATATAAAAATAGTGCACCAATGGTAGTTATTATGTGGTTACTTTCTTGGCCAGAAGTGGTTTCTGTTACATATACTGGAATATGGATCCAAACAAGGTCTACACACTGCATCTGTTTATTGGTTCTTTTAAATCTTTTTCTTTACCTTTGTCCTGCATGATTTCAAGTTCTAGATTTGTCTACTGCTTCATTTTTTTTTTTGAGACAGGTCTCACTATGTAGTTCAGGCTGGCCTTGAACTATGTAGCCCAGGCTGGTCTCAAACTCACAGATTCTCCTGCCTTGGCCTCCTGAGTGCTGAGATTATAGGCATGCACTACCCATGGCAGCTTACTTCTTCATAATTTAACTCGGGGTCCCACACTTGATAGGCAAGCTCTGCACCAGCTACATCCTCAGCCTTTTAAAATTTTGAGACAGTTTGTTTAATTTGCTCAGGGTGCCCTTGAACTTGAGGATGTTCCTGCTTTTTAGCCTCTGGAGTGCTTGGTATTATAGGCATGTGAAACCATGCCCGCCTGCATTGATGGATTAAATAACAGTAAAGATTTAATCAGTTTAAAAGTGAAGGGATGGGGCTGGGGATTTAGCTCAGTGGCACTGATCCTGCCTCGCAAGCACAATGTCTTGAGTTCAATTCCCGGTATTCAAAAAAAGTGAAGGCTTGCAAGTCTTAGTAGCTCATGCCTGAAACCCCAGCACTCGGGTTAGAGGACTGTAAGTTCAAGGCCAGCCTGTGTTACACAGAGAGTCCAAAGCCAGCCTGAATAGTGAGACCTTGTCTCAAAAAACCCCAAAATCAACCAATCAGTCAGTGACATCCCATAAGAATGGACAAAGTTCCCCACTCTTAGCTTACCATTCAGAGCCCTTCCTTTGTATTTCATTATCTTCATCTGAGGATGAATCCCCAACGCACTTGTTTTGTTTTTTAATAGGCACATGCTTTCCTTCTTCTGCATAAACTACTTACTCCTTAGAGTATTCTTTCCTTAGACTAAGTTTTGTTCTTTGTGGACACAAAATCCCAAGAAAATACTCATTAGTATGGTTCATTAAGCATCAGGGACTATGCTATGGATTTTCCATGGAGTTAAAGATTCAATTAAACCATCAGAATAATTCCGTAAGGAGCTACTATCCTCAATTAAAATCATAAGAGCTGAATCTACAAAGAATTTGAAAATGCTTATCCAACATTTACAGTACTTGGCAGTCTCTGGCATAATTAAGTAGTAAGTTGCACTGACCCTTTTCCATAGTCTCACAGCACTGTATCCATCCTTCTATTTCTACATCACTTATTTTGAAGCAGAAAAATGGGCTGAGTGATTCTGGCAGTTAACAGTGAGAGCAGAAAAAATACAAATTGAGAGGCAGAAATACCTGACAGAACTATAACTTCTCTCCAGCTCTGCCACTTAACTAGTTACATGCACTTGAAAAAATTAATTTCCCTGAATTTTTTCAAAAGAAAGTACAAAAGTATAAATGAAAAAATAATGTATGGCCCATGTCACAATCCTTGATATTTCACTTATGCACAATAAAAAAGTTTTACAAGACTATCTCATAAAACCTGAAGAACTCATACACACCTTGCTGAATGCATATGTAGTTGGCCCTTCCATGTCTTCAGGAACAGAATCTGAAGATCCAACCAATCTAGGACTGAAAATTTTGGGGGAAAAAATCATCTGCAGTGAACATGTACAGATTTTTTTCCTGGTCATTATTTCCTAAATAATACAGCACAATAGCTATTTACATATAACTTATGCTGTATTAAATTATTTAAATTAAGTAACCTAGACATGATTCAAACCATACAGGAGGATGTGTATAGCTTGTATAAGAATGCTATACTGTTTTACAGAAGGGACTTGCACATGGGAGGATTTCTGTTTCCAAACGGGGTCTTGGAACCAATGTCCTGTGGACACCTGGGGATGACACTTCTACCAAACCAGATGTGATCAAAATGTACAATGTGTAAATTAAAAAACACAGTAAAATATACATTGCCATTAACTCTCCTCAAAATACTCCCCCTTTAAACACATTTATCCCATCAGTCCTGGCACCTTCTAAAAGGAGTTCTGGAAGTCTGCTTCCATAAATGTCTCTATGAGGTGGGATTAAAAATACAGCAAGGGCTGGGGATTTAGCTCAGTGGTTCTGCTGCCCGCCTCCCAAGCCCAACGTCCCAAGTTCGAGCCCCAGTATCAAAAAAACACAAACAAAAAATCCCCCCAAAATCAAAACAAAAACAAAATAACAGCAAATGCTGGGGTCAAGTGCAACCCAAAGGAAAAGCAGGTGACAGAAAAATGACAATGCGTCCTCATTTACACCTTGTTCACTGGATCTGACTTCCAGAAATGCTTCAGAAAGAGGCAAGGTCAAGGGATAAGACTGTTCAAAGTGAGGAGTACTTTGAGGGGATTAATGTGTATTTCTTACTGTAATAAATTCATAAAAATTGAAACACCATATTTGTAATCACATTGTGCATATTACATATAAATGTATGCATGTATTTGGCGCGGGGAGGTTGAGACAGGGTCTCACTATGTAGCCCAGGCTGGCCTTGAACTTGCAGTGATTCTCCTGCCTCAACCTCCCAGGTGCTGGGATTACAGCTGTGCACCACCATGGCTATGATATAAATGTACATTTACTTACATGTTAAGTACTCTGATAATTAACCTAAGAGCTGTTGTCTCATCTGGTTGTGAAATCCTTAATGATTAGTCAAAGCGTTCTTGTCCCAAAGGGCTTGGTGTAAGAGTGTGGTTCAGGAAAACCACACTGAGGAAAGAAGAGGAAGAGGAGCAAAGTTTCAGAATGTCAAAATAAATCTTTATTTTTTACATTGAAATATATTCAACCTGTATAAAATTCTAACACAGACAACTACCTAAAAGAAAGCATAATGTCTCTTCTAAACTACTCTCTAACTGCCCACATTATGTGTGGCTATGGTGATTTAAAAAAAAATTTTGTTACTGAGGGTGGAATCCAGGCCCTGTGCCAGGCTAACTTCTCCCAATGAGCCACATTTGTGGCCCTAGTCCCCCACCCTTTTTTTTTTTGAGACTGGGTCTTGCTATGTAGCCCAGGCTGCCTTGAACTCAGAGTGTTATACTTTCAAATAGGTACTTTTGAGTAGGTCAGAAAAGACACAGAATGTATGGGAATTGGGGGTGAGGAGGCACAGAACGGTCAGAAAACTTGAGGTTGTGGAAATTTCAAGAATCTTGCCCAATGTCACACAGCTGGCAAACTGTGGAGCAAAACTCAAAAAATTATAAAGCCACAAAAATATGTAATACTTAAAAAAAAAAGACAGTATGTACATAAAAAGGGCTCTAGCATCCTTTAAGGGTCAGAACAGGTACTCACTCCAGGCAATACTGTGGTGGCCCTTCCCAAGCACACACACGAATTAGTCTTCTCTACCTCTCAGAAATCAGGCCATTACATGAACAGAAGAGCTTTGTAGGGACTATCACTACTTTTTCAAACTAACCCTGTCTCCCTCCTGGATATACAGTGGTGCATCCAACAAATTACTAAATCTGTAGCTAAACTGGCATTTTCAAATACAAATATAATCTTTTCATCTTCCCACTTAAAGTAAGTCAATGCCCTTTATTGCTATAAGGAAACAGCTTTCAAGCCTTAGTATCTATCACCAACACCTGGAGGTCTGGTTAAAGGCTTGTTGGCCCACATCCCTGGCTTTTGATTCAGCAGATCTATTTTTCGTTCTTTTGCAGTATTGGGGACTGAAGCTAGCATAGGTTTGATAAGCACCACTGAGCTACACCACCAGCCCCAGATTTAAAACATTTTTATTTTGTGCTGGGTGTGCTAGCAACATGCCTATAATCCCAGCTCTCAAGGGGCTGAGGCAAGAGAATCATTACAAATTGAAAGCCTGTCTGAAGTACATTAAATTCTGTCTAAAAAAACTTTTTAATTTTGAGACAAGGTCTAAATTGCCCAGGCTAATCTCAAACTTTAGATTCTCCTGTTTTGGCCTCTAGAATAGCTAGATTATAGGTGTTTGCCACCAGGCCTCGCTAGTTCTCAAATGCTGCTGCAGGCCTGGGGAATCACACTTTGTTAACTACTACTTTAAAGAAAGCAAAATTTAGATCTAGTCCCAGACTCTTAAGACTAGCTCCCCATCATATATCGTAGTCGACATTTTTTATTTTAGCCATCTTTTAGCTAATGCGTCCAAATCCCCGCTAGAATGTAAGGTTCTTGGTGAGCCTGCGTCTTTAGTTTTGAATGATGAGTACATAAAATGTATAGCAGATTCCAGCTTTCAATTTCAATCACTGTCATAATACATTATTCGAAACATGTCTGCTCCTAAGACAGACCACCAGCAAAATAAAATGGTAATTTCTACCTATAAAATGCTTGCAAGGGGCCGGGCATGGTAGTGCATGCCTGTAATCTCAGCACTTGGGAGGCTGAGGCAGGAAGACTGCAGCAAGTTCAAGGCCAGCCCAGGCTACATAGTGAGTTCAAGGCCAGCCCAGGCTACATAGTGAGTTCAAGGCCAGCAAAAAATGCCCTTGTGAGGCTCAAGGGCTGTTTAGATCGGTTAGAGGAGCAGGATGTGTGGAGCGTGGGTTCTCCATGGGGGCCACCGCTCCCCACCCCCACCTCAAACACCACAGTGATTCTTTGGCGAAAACGCAGCTACTTCACAAACACTCTTTGCAGCTAAAGCTCCCTTGAAACCTAACTGGCCCAGGCTCCAGCCTTCACTCTCACTCCACTGACCCGGGCCCACAGCCACTTCCACAGGGACTGAGAGCCACCACGGACACGCGCGACCCCGAGGCCTGGCTCACTGCAGACGCTGGGGAAGCTCTGGCTGAGCAAGCTTCTTGCCTGGTGCTGCTTGGCCCCCTCCCCGGCCCTCGCGGTTTACCTGGAACAGCTGCTCCGCGGCTTGGCCCGAGACTGACACTGCGGCACATTCAGAGTTCAGGCGCGCACGACTGAGAGGGCCAAACTCCAGTCAGCAAGAGGTTCCCAGCTTCCCCCGTGGCCGCGCTGTGAATGACGGGTACGCGGACAGTGGGCGGGAACGGACCCGCACATGCGTAGTGACTCTATATCTAGGGCTAAGCGTGAGGTGGAGCTGAGGGGAATAGGGTGGCTCCCTCAGCGGTGAGGCCGCGGTCGCTCTGAACCCACCTTTATAACTCCAGTTGGCACCCTTCTCAGATTCTTTTCTTTTTTTTAATATTGTGAATACTCGGGCCTTTGGACTGAGCCAGGCTTTTTTATTTTTCCTCGAGACGGGGTTTTGCTAAAGTGCTAAGCTGCCCAGGCTAGGTTCGAATTTACGGTCCTCCTGCCTCAGCCTTCCAGAGCGCTGGAATTATAGTTGTGTGCCACCGTGTCTGGCCTTTTTCAGTTTCCTATGACGGTGTTTTTTGTTGGTATGAGCGATCAGAGTATCACAGTAAGGTTGCAGGCTGGTTTTAGGTTTTTTTTTTCTTTTTGCGTTGCTGGGGATGGAACCGAACGGAGGCCCTGTACCTGGTGGATAAGCGCTGTACCACTGAGCCGCCGTCCTCTGCTCAGCAGGTTGTTTTTTGGTTTTGTTTTTTGAGACAGGGCCTGGCTTTGCTGTTCAGCCCGGCCTTGAACACCCAGCCTTGGGGGCAGGTTTTAAAAGCTTCACCATCCTAGTTGGGGTGGTGGTGCACGCCTATAATCCCTGTAGTGGGGGTGGGGGAAGGCTGAGGCAGGAGGATCCCTGGAGTTCAGGACCAGCCTGGGCTATGTAGTAAGTTCAATTCAAGGCCAGCCTGAACTTTGCAACCCTGTCTCAACCACCAAAACAAAACACATAACAAAAAGCTTCCCCATCAGACCCTCCCTCTCAGAGTGCGAGGAAGTAGAGGGCTCCTTAGAAAACTGCTTCAGGGGGCAGGGTGGTTTTAGAGGAGGAGCTTTCACCTTGGAATGGAAAAAGGAGCTGGGAGCGGTTTGCATCAGTTTGCATCTCAATGGGTGGTGAGTAGATCTTGCTCCTCTCACCAACTCACATTCACCTAGGTCTCTCCTGAGAAAGTGGCTTTTTAAGGCAGAATTTGAATGATTATGAATGTTTTGGACAAATTGGAGAGCAAAATCTTAAAGGCCCGAGCAAGGGCCTATAAGGATCCTGTTAATGCCTACGGATTGAACCTAGGGGCTTTGTACTTAGGACACAAGGGAATAAAAGAGGTCATTTGGTTGCACTAAAGAGAAATGAGGACAGTTGTGGCAGCACAAGCCTGTAATCCTATCACTCTGGGAGGCTGAGGCAGGAGGATCACAAATTTGCATTTAACCTGGGCAGTTTATGGGCTGGTGAGACCCTGCTTCAAAAATGGCTGAGGAGATGGGCGTGGCGGGGCACACCTGTAATCCCAGCACCAGAAGGCTGAGGCAGGAGGATTGTTGTGAGTTTGAGGCCAGCCCGAGCTACATATGGAGACCTTGTTTCAAAAAACAAAACGAACAAACAAAAAAGGCTGAGGATGTAGCAAAGTGAATTCAAAAAAATAAAAATTTAAGGCCAGGGATTTAGCTCAGTGGTTCCACCACCTGCCCCGAAAGCGCAAGAACCTGAGTTTGATCTCTGGCACCAAAAAAAAAAAAAAAAAAATTTAGAAAACAAGGGTGTAGTATGTAGCAAAGGCTTTTCTGCAGATGATGAGATAGGGAAGTCAATGCCAAAAGGCCTTTTAGGCAAAGTTGAAGATTTTGATTTTTTGTTTTTTGTTGTTGTTTTGTTTTAGTACCAGGGATCAAACTCAGGACCTTGTGGTGGCCAGGCAGGCGTCGGTGCCACTGAGCTAAATCCCAGGCCCTGACAATTTTGACTTTTACCAAGTGGAAAGAGAAAGCCAGTGAAGCATTTTAAATATGATTTTATTTATTTTATTTATTTATTTATTTATTTTTGGGGGGTACTGGGGATTGAACTCGGGACCTTCCACTTGCAAGGCAGGCGGCCAAACCACTGAGCTAAATCCCCAGCCCTTAAATATGATTTTAAATATGATGTTATCCCAGCTACTTGGGAGGCTGAGACAAGAAACTTTCTCGATCCAGGCCAGCCTCGGTAATTTTGATTCAGTCTGTCAGAATAATAAAAAAGGAGATGAGGAGGTTGCTCAGTGGTAGAGTGTACCAGGGTTTCAGCACCATTTACACACACACACACACACACACACACACACACACACACACACACAAAGCCAGGCGTGGTGGCACACACCTGTAATTCCTGCACTATGGAGGCTGAGACAGCAGAACCGCCATGAGTTCCAGGCCAGCCTGGTTTACATAGCGAGCTCCAGGCCAGCCTGAATACATAGGGAGATCCTGCCTCAAAAAAGCAAAAATGAAAGTTGTTTGTTACACAATGGATTCTTATTTTGTAAATTTGAGAGGCTAGGGATGTAGCTCAGGTAGAGCACTTACCTAGCATGTGTATGACCCTTGATTCAATCCTAGCACAACAAATGAAAAAACATCTAAGTTTATAGCAGGATAAACTAATTTCTCAGCCAAGGAATATTTTTCATCCCTGTTAGTCTCTGAGAGGTTTTGTAATCTTGGTCTCTGTTCTTTCTGGTCCTAGCCAATCACTATTTCCCTCCCTTCAGGGGCCTGCACACCCAGCCCTCTAATTTTATTTTTTTACTTTAAGACTGGGTCTTACTAAATTGCCCAGGATGGGCTTGAATTTATGATCCTCCTGCCTCAGCTTCCCAAGTAGCAGGAATTATGGGCAAATGCTGCCAGCCTCCCTCTCTGGTAACAGAACCTCAGAAATCAATCTGGAGAATAGCCATCCGTAATCGCAGCAGAGGGAAGAGCATCTGCACAGAAAATAGATTGGTTTTCTGTCTAATTGCAAGTTTAGAACTTTTTTATTCTTGAAGCTAATATTTTTTTCTTAATTCTTAAAGTTTTTTGTTGAAGCTAATGCCAAATGTAAAGAACTACAGTTAGTCTTTTCATGATATTTAAGATTGAGTTTATATATCAGATATGATTGAGAGTTTATATATTCAGATAAGCAGAACTGAGTTAGGAAACACAAGCTTTGCATCTCATTGGGAAAAAATGGGTTGGAAACTGAGGTCCTAACATGTCCTTCTGGGAAATGTTATATTAAAAATAGAAGAGGGCCGGGGATTTAGCTCAGTGGTTTCGCCACCTGCTGCGCAAGTGCAAGGACTCAAGTTCGATCCCCGGTACCAAAAAAAATAATAATAATAAAAAATAGAAGATTTAGCCAGGGGTGGTGGCACAGGCCTGTAATCCCAGCACTCAGAAGGCTGAGACAGGATGATCCCTGAGAGTTTCAGGCTAGCCTGGGCTATATAGTGAGTTCAAGGCCAGTCTGAACTGCTTAGTGAAACCTGACTCAGAAAAGCCAAAACAAAAACAAAAAACTTAGGGGTGGTGGTGCATGCCTGTAATCCAGCACTCAGGAGGCTGAGTAAGGTGAACTTTAAAGTTTGAGGCCAGCCTGGGCTACATAACAAAAAACCTTTTGAAGAATATTATAAAGCCACATACATGGTGGCAAGTACACATAAAATGAATACGGAGTCATAAAAATTTCTTTAAAGTGCACAGATACTGCTCTGATTTCATCCTCTACCTCCACAGTGAACAAGATGCAGTTCTGTTGTCAAGGACCTGTTTGTTCTGTTCTGCCACTTTCAATGGACACACCACTAGTGAGTGGACTTTTTTATTGATGTATGTTTGCAGAACATAAAAATTATATTCATCTTGGGGAAGTACATGTACATATTGGTTGTGGTTTATATCAGGATGTATCCCAAAGCCTCATACACTCCTAGGTGGGGCTTTTGGGAGGTGATTGGATCACAGCGGTGTGATGTGTGTCCCTGGATTTATAGCTAAATATCATGTTGGGAGGTGAAGCCTGGTGGAGGAGGTGGTTCACTGTGCGCGTGGCCTGGAAGGGGCTGTCTCCCTCCTTCCCTCCGTCCTTCTTTGTGTCCTGTGGCCATGCCATGGGCTGCTTCTCCTCTGCTGTTCTGCCCTTCCTTGGAGCCAGCTGACTGTGGACCGAAAGCGCTACAGACTGTGAGCCAAAGTAAACCTTTCTACCTTAGTGTTGTGTGTGTCAGGTATTGTGTCTCAACACTGAGAAAGTAACTAAGACAGTATCACACATTATTCATTTTTAGTCCCCCTTCCCCTTCTCTCTTTGCCTTTGCTGTGATAATCTCGAATAGAGCAAACAATGGAGATAGAGACAAGAATCAGGAACATTTCTACCATCTTATACTCAACACTCTATTTCTTAAACAAAGAAAGGACAACTACACACTCAAATCACCCAGGGTTTTATTGAAGTTATTGAAGTTGTATAAGCAGAAATCTGTAACGATTTAATTCCACAATAGTAAGGCTAATTTTTAACTTTTTTGGTGAATATGACAATCTGGGCTGGGAGTTTAATTCAGTGTAGAGCGGTTGCCTAATGCATAGGCCCTGAGTTGGATCTCAAAAAAAAAAAATCTGTGCAGCTCTGTACTTTATAAAGTGTGGGTTTGTAGTGAATATTATGTGAACTACATAGAGCATTTTTTATACAAATGAGTACCTATTTTCAACATAGTTGACAGTAGCCCATGTTTCTACTCAGATGCACATGTGGAACTGCAATCTCTATAGAAAATTATTTAGGGACAGGCATGATGGCATGTGCCTATAATCCCAGCATGCTATAAGGCTGAGGCAGAAAGATCTCAAGTTTGAGCCCAGCCTAGGCAATTTATTATCTTAGAAAGATCCTGTCTCAAAATAAAAAATAAAAAAAGAGGTGAGGATATATCTCAGTGTGAAGGCCTTGGGTTCAATCCCTAGTACTGTAAAAAAGTTATTTAGGATTTCCCCAGTAATATCTAAATAATGAGGTAAGATATTTTGTGTGTGTATCAGTGTAATCAGTGTCCTATATAAGCACTTTCCATCTCCAAAGACACTTTCAATAAACTGATAGGAAGACAAACTCCATGAAATTGTCAGATTTTCTACTTAAAATTCTTTATATATTAATCCCAAACTTCTATTTTAGCAAAATAAAGGCTATTGTTTAATGACTTCCCTACTCTATAATATTCACAAAGTAAAAGAAATTTGTTTAAAAAAACATGAATTTATAAATGTCTTACCTGAAATTAACTTAAAATTTTGTAGCACTAAGTTAAATCTTTCTTTCTTTTTTTTTTTGGTACCAGGGATTGAACTTGGGACCTTTTGCTTTCAAGGAAGGCAATGGAACCACTGAGCTAAATCCCCAGCCCTAAATCTTTCAATAAATACAAATTAGCATATATAATCACTTGGGAATACCTAGTTATTATTTATTTATTTTTTTGGTATTGGGGATCGAACTTGGGTCTTTGCACTTGCGCAGCAGGCGGCGAAACCGCTGAGCTAAATCCCGGGCCCGGGAATACCTAGTTATTGGTGCAGTTCAGATATAGACAGGAGACACGTATTTTTTGGAAATAATACCCCTAAATTCATTCTAATTTCTTTGCATATTTCACCAATGCAGGTTGAAAACCACTGATACAGAGCTTATCAGAGTGATGAAAACTCATCTATGAGCTATAGATGCTGCCATTAGGACTTCATTGATGTGACTGCATTTTATTTTATTTATTTTGTTTTTTTGAAACAGGGTCTTGGTATGTAGATCAGGCTGGCCTTGAACTTACTATGTGGCCCAGGCTGGCTTCAAACTCATGGCAATCTTCCTGCCTCAGCCTCCCATGCCTGGCTGTGACTGCATTTTATTTTATTTTATTTTATTTTGGTATGGGGATCAAACTCAGGAGCTCGAGATTGCCAGGCAGGTGCTGTGCTGCTGAGCTACATCCTTGGATGTGACTGCATTTTACATGTTACCTTTAAGCAAGTCTTTTTACCTGTACAAAATAATCAAGGGCATAAACAGAACTTCAGAGGAAATCAAACATAGGCTTGTTATAATCACAAGATGAGAAAAAGACTCAGAAATGAGCATTTCCATTTTAGAATAAAATGAACTACAACTAGTATTTTATACTTTCTTTTACACCTTTATAAAATACAATATCATACTTTTATAAACACTAAAGCTTACCATATAAAATGACAAGAATAACTTTTTCCAGTATAAATAATTAATGAATTGATTATTTTCTCCCTAGTCTGTAAATCCAGTCAATGTATCTGATTTTATTTTATTTTATTTTTTTGGTACAGGGATCAAACTCAGGACCTCGCGCTTGCCAGGCAGGCACTGTGCTGCTGAGCTACAGCCCCGGTGCATTTGATTTTAGATTAAATATTTTAAAGCATACTTTTGGAAAATTATAGGAGTAGGGAAAAAACCCCTTTAAATTCTTATACTTTTTACCATTACAGAGTTTGAAAACATTACAAAATATTTTCCTTTTTAATTTGTGTAAGAATAATAATGTGCAGAAAAAGAGAGATTTTTGTTATGAAGGCAAATAATGGTGGTTCAGACTTCACTTTTCAACTTACATAATTTTCCTTCTTAAAAAACCCACCCTGGATGCTTTCTGGACAGTAATGTCTGAGGAGTCATGTAGATGTCACAGTGAAGTCCTTGCAGTGAGTGAAGTGAACCACCCCTTCCTTCCCTCCTGCAGGCCCAAGGCCACCAGCTCCAGGTTCTCTGTGGAGGGAGACACAGACATCAGAGAGAAAAGTATTGTCCAACATGCCAACTTACCGGTGCTTAACTTCTTATTCAATAGACAGCGAGTTGTGAAAATTTCCCTGTGCCTTTCAGTGGTGTAAGCACCTTTATATATGCTTACCTTTTTTTTTTTTTTGTACCAGAGATCGAACTCGGGACCTTGAGCTTGCAAGGCAGGCGGCAGAACCACTGAGCTAAATATGCTTACCTTTTAATACAAATACAGCCCTCATGTTTCTTCAAAAGTCTGAATTTAGACTTTTTTTTTGGTACTGGGGATCAAACTCAGGACCTTGTGCTTGTAAGGCAGGCGCCAGAACCACTGAGCTAAATCCCTGGCCCTGTTTTTTTTTTTTTGAGACAGGAGCTCACTATGCAGTTCAGGCTGACCTTGAACTCACTATGTAGCCCAGGCTGGCTTCAAATTTGCAGTAATCCTCCTGCCTCTGCCTCCCAAGTGCTAGGATTATAGGTTTATAGGATTATAAACCTGAATTTAAAGCCTGACCTCAATTTAAACTATTAAGGAAGCTTTCACATGACATTACTTTTCATCCAATTTTATTTACTCAGTGACAAAAAAAGGAAGCAAAAGGTATGTGGTGTGCATTTTTATTTTATCTTTAATTTTGATTTTTTTTTGTTTCATTTTTTGTGGTACTGCAAAATATATACATACATGCATACATACATACAAAGTGAAAAGAAATAAAGTAGAATATGGTAGATAGCTTTTTTTTTTTTTTGGTATCAGGGATTGAACTTGGGTCCTTGCGCTTGTGCAGCAGGCAGCGAAACCACTGAGCTAAATCCCCGGCCCAATATTAGATAGTTTTTAAAAGGAAATAGTAAGTGGGTGCAGTGTTATCTTCTTAGGAGGCTGAGACCGGAAGGGTCACAAAGTTGAAGGCCAGCAGGGTACCTTAGTGAGATCCTATCTCAAAAAAAACAAAAACAAAAACAAAAACAAAAAAGCCAAGAGCTGAGATATATCTTAGTGTTCCCTGGATTCAAGTCTCCAGTACGGCTACAAAACAAAACAACAAAAAACTTACTAATAATACCACAATCACCATGCCTGTAATCTTAGCACTCAGAAGGCTGAGGCAAGAGGATCACTCTGAGTTTGAGGCCAGCCTGAACTACACAGTGAGACCCTGCCTCAAAGAACAAAAAAACCACAATCACTGGGAGAACAGAAGATTATTTTATTTGAGTCTGAGTAGGCTTCATGAGAATAAAAATGAAATTTGAAGAGAACCAGGAGGAGGAGAAAGTTCAGACTTGATACAGTGAAGGGAGGGGTTCCTAGAAGTTGAAAGGTCTCTGGCGGAGAGTTAGGAATCAGTTCCACTTGGCAGGTGATATCCAGAAATAAAGCTGAAAATGTATGCTGGAGTCTGATGACAGAAGGTCTTAAATGTTGAGACGTACAGGTTTCATTTTATTTCTTTTAGCAATATCGATGGGATGTTGACTGTGTTCCAGGCTGCAGATACAAAAATGAATACCATTTACCCTCTGCCTTCAGGGATTTATAGCTGGCACAAATAGGAAGGCAGTGTCCGTTACAGTATTATAACACCATGGGTCAGGCACTTTGATGGAAGCACAAATACTGCTCTGAGAGCAAAAAGGGAGCATCTGCTATGATTGGTAGGGTATTAAAAGCAAGAAGAGTTTCCTGAAGCATCACTGAATGAGAGAGGAAAAGAGTTAACAACAGGACAGTATAGGCAGATGGGTAGCTTGAAAAAGCAAAAGGCAGGGGGCGAGGATTTAGCTCAGTGATTCTGCTGCCTGGCTTGAAAGCACAAGGTCCCGAGTTTGATCCCGGGTAGCAAAAGGCAAAGAGTGGATTGATTTTAGGGTTATGGTAATAATACAACCTCTAGGTAGTATTTATTTCACACTCCTGTGTGCCAAACATGACTGTGATAGGTCAAGCAGCAAAACTCCTTCCATTCTGCAGATCTGGGAAGGTGGAGGTTGATAGCAGGTGACTTAGCAGTGGCCACCAGAGTGAGCTGTGGGGCCAGAGGTTGAATACAGGTGGTACAGTCTTAGGTCTTTTTCCTCTGGAGAGGGAAGGGGAAAAGAGGTGACAGAGGAGACGGGAGGGTACCTTTTGTAAGCTGTTTGTCAAATTCTGTGACTTCTTATTGTCCTGAAAGGCTAAGGGAAGAGAGGAGGATTTTAATCTAGATGTGACTGAATGTTCAGTTTAGAAAGATCAGATGGTGAAAGAAAAAAAAAATGCAGTTTTTAGAACCCAAAGTGGAAGCTGAAGTCAGGCTAGAGGGAGAAAATGGGCACTGAGATAAGAGAAGGTAGAGAAGGAAAAGAGGGGCAGATTCAAAAACTTTTTTCTACGTAGAAACCACAGGTCTGGGAAACAAATTTGAAGTGAATAACAGAGCACTGAGCTCAGAATTTTACTTCAAATATGCCAGTAATGTATTTCCTAGTACAGTGCCTGATACATGGCAAACATCTAATACACTGTAGTTTTATGGGTATTCCCTAACTTCTGAGAACATAAGAGAAACATCTGAATGGGAAGAATTAAAAATTTCACTTTCAGGCATTCATTCATTCATTCATTCATTATTCCTTGAGAGCTTACCATAGTCACTGGGTACATAACTGTGACCAAAGTCTCTGTCCTCATGAAACTTGCCATATCAAGAAGAGAGGCAGATGGTAAACATATTAACACAGTGGCACTAGGTGTCATGGAGAAAACAGATCAGGAAAAGGAGAATGGGATGTCTTGGGCAGGGTGAGATGTTACCCTTTTATATAAAGAATCATCTGCATGACATTGGAGCAAAAAAACTGCAATGCAAGAATAAGTCTCCCAGGCCAGGGTAGAGATTCCCAAGTACAGTGCAGACATGAGCTTGAGGGGATTCCAAGTAGGAAGTGGCCACCCCATACAAGTCCTAAAAGGAATAGGGATTTATCCTAGTGAGAATTAGAGGGGAGCATGGTGTGACTGAAGCTAAAACCCACTCTGCCAGGTGACCTGTGGTGAGGTAACTGAAATTGGGACAGTATTGTGTTTACTGGATTCAGAAGGAGTCAACAGGGAGCTTTGTCAGGAGGAAAAGGGGAGCAGAGTGTGGGAAACAGGAGGGAAGGAAAAGGCCTCACTTGGAGGGAATTTGCCTATGGGGAGGAATACAAACAGAAGGTCACTAGAGAGCACTCTGGGGCAGAGTGCCTCGATGATCCCATTATTTCCACAAAGAAAGCAGTTACCTCTTGCTGTGAGTTGGAAGAGGAGGTTTAAAAAGTGTAAGGAAACTCCAGGTGATTAAAGGTTTGAAGTACACCTGAATGAGGATCAGAGGTGCCCGGAAGTGCAAAAGAGTACTTTCCCAGAGCCCTGTAAAGGTTGCGGCTAAAGTGCTAGACTAAGCAGAACTTGGGGCTGAGGTGGAGTTGGGTTTCTCTCTGCCAAGAGGTAGAGTGAGTGGTGTGAAAAAGGGCAGTGCTGGAAGGGCGACAGGCAGGCAGGGTAAGAACAAGGCAGGAACTGGAAGCACATTTGGAATGGTCAGCAAGAGTGACAGGTCAGTAATTAAAAATTATGTATTAAAAGGCACTTTTGCCAAAAATCTTTTCAATAGCCATTCCTCTAAGAAGTGGAAATATGCAGTAGGGTAGGATGAGGACTTCTGCTTTTAAGTTTACATTCTTTTATACTTCAGAAATAAATTTTACACTATGAACACATATTATATTACAGTTGTTATTAGAAAGCTAAATAAAGTGTGTGTTAATAAGGTATGTAGCTTTGTTGAGTGCATGTTCACAAATAAAACCACTGATGGAGTTGCTGTTGGAAAAGGGAAGTCACTTTAATCTTAAGCCCCTACCTCATTTCCCACTCTGTTGCTTTCAACAATAACCGTAACTTTGTATTTCCTATTAACCCTGCTCTTTCCCTCTTCCACTGGAATTCACTTGGGGTTCAAGGTGATGTCAACATATTTCAGTTGAAAAAAAATCAAAGTCATTGTAAACTGCGCACATTTGCTACCTAATTGACTCAGTTGTACAGGCTAGGAAATCACACTGAGGATCACTGAGGTCTGGGAACTGTCAAGTGAACAGAAAAGAGATAATAGGGAATTCAGTGAAATATACAAAAGTGCTAAGCCACTCTAAAGGGTTAATTTGGAAAACTTCCAAAGTCAATTGTTTAGCTTACCTATCCTTTTACAGTCTTACTTGACCCTAACTGAATCAAATAACCACATGTGATTTTACCTAAAGCATGCAGAAAATAGAGAGGGAGAAATGAAAAGGTGATTTTTGCCTTAGAGCCCAGTACCTAGTCCCTTATCCAACTGTTGGGGGTTTTTCCTTTTCTTTTTTTTTCCTTATCCAACTGTTAAAGAGGCATTGTTGCAAAACAGAGAAAGTAGGAAAATATTTAGGACAGTGAGAATTTTATCACCAAATTTGAAGGTAGTATTTATTATTCATGCTGGCTGACGATGACCTTGGAAACTTACCTTCATTTTTATCTTATATTGGCTCTTATAATAATGACTGGATTACAACAGGTAACTTTTACACATTCTTCAGAGAACTGTAGTGGATATAAGACTAGCCTAAACCCTGAAAAAGTGGGTGCTGTAATCCAAGCAGGTCCATAAAGGTATCAGCCAACTTAGATAAACGAATTGTTATTATTAGATGGTTTACATAGCTTTCACTTAAATTTCTCTTTGGTTGACAAAGGTGGTTTATAGATCAAAATTTCCCTTAACTTTGACAAATCAAATTTCTGTACTCTCTCATTTCCTTGTAGCCTTGATTTTGGTGAGGGGTAGTTTGTGGAGAAGGCCAAGATAACTTGTGGCTAACTAAAAAGACTTGTATCTTGCAAGGTATAGTTCTCAGTCTACAGAGGAATTCTCTTGAATTGTACAATGCTCCTCTCCTCTTTGCCATTTACAGAAGAGTGCTGGGAAAGTCTGGAACTTCTTCACTCCTCCTGAGCAAAGATGTTACTGATATTTCATACGTGAGACTGAAAAGCTCTGCTGGGAACATTATCCACAACACAAAAGGGTATGTTAGCGTATTAGCCCTTTTAAAGCATATTTCAATCACTATTAACTGGCTTCTCAGAGACCTCCTACTGTATCTTTTCTACAGTCCTCCACCAAATCTACTATATTTTGGTAGCAAAGAGTAATTTGTTACAGATAGAGAACTTGGCTTTTTGTCTAAGACCTCTGATAAATGCTTATTACTGAACTGCTCTTCCTTTATTTACTTTTCTACTACAAGGCTTTCACTGGGTTTGAAAAGCACTCATTAAACAATAGGCATTGCAGCCTTTCTTCCCATTGATTGAATGTTGCCATAAAAGCCACAGTCTACAGACCAACTGAATAAGCTAATTTAGCAAATGTTTGTGTGTTTTAACTACCTGAAGATATTTTTGTAGTATTTCCTTTAGGAAGAAATATCTCAGATGAACTAAGGAACTCACAATAATTACAATGGAATGTCAGTTTAGTATGAAGTGACTTAAACTTTGGCATTGTTTAAAGCCAACTGCTGCAAGCCATATTATTGGAGATGGTGGTGGTATGAAATCACTGGCCTTGTAGTGACAAAAAGGGAGTAGCAAAATTCTAGTCAGAGTTTATTCTTAAAAATGTAACCATCAAGGCCGGCTGTGGTGGCTTATGCCTGTAGTCCCAGCACTCTGAAGGATCGCTGTGAGTTGGGGCCAGCTGGGCTACACAGTGAGTTAAAGTCCAGCCTGAGATACATAGACCCTGTCTCAAAAAAAGTTAAAAAAAAAACAAGATGCAACCATCAAGACCAATACTGTTAGTGAGGCTGGGAAGACGCCATGCTATTAAGTTGATTTTATATATTAAACTATGGTCTGGGGGTTTAGCTCAGCAGCACAGCACCTGCCTGGCAAGTGTGAGGTTCTGAGTTTGATCCCTGGTACAAAAAAAAAAAAAGTATTCCTGAGGCCAGTCTGTCATTGTTATGGTGTCAATGGATAAATCATCCAAATGCTTTCAAGGACACAGTGGTCTAAGTGGGAAATGTGCTTGTTCTGTATAATATCTAGAGCTTTCAGTGTTTTTCAAAACACACATTTAAATAATTTTTAAATTCCCATGATGCTTGATTTGTTTTAATTATGAAAATTTTCAATCACAGAAGATAGTGTTAGATTCTATATAGCTATCACTCAGATTTGACAATGACCAGGAATTTGCTTATCTATCCCACTTTCTTCTTTTAGTTAAAAGCCTTTCCCAAGCATCAGCTCCTTTCACTCTTTCATACATTAGTACACTTACTTCAACCACAGCTATTATCATGTACTACAAAATGCAAATAGGTCTTCTTTGGTGTGGCTGATTAAATGCTGCACAAGGACTTTCTGTCAGAAATACCTCAGGGGAAGGGCACCCGGGAATGGAGTGGCAGGCATCTCCGCTGAAAGCAGTTGTGTCTGTGTAGCTTTCTTCTCAGGGCCAAATTAGCTGGAGGAAAGAAAGAAATATTAGCAACGTTTGAAGAAAGTGAATTGTTGAGTAACCTGGAGAATGTAACAGTGTTAGTCTATTTGCAGCCAAACTGTGCTGTAGTTACTTGCTATTTGTTCATATGTGATTATTGTTAAACAAAATTTAATATGATACATACGGATATGCAAGATATATTTCTAATAGCTAATAACAAGATCTGGCAGTAATGTCTTTCTCTTTTTATACATTTTCTTCCTAACTGCTTGTAGGCTTTTCATTTTATGCAATCACAAATATTTTACAAGAACATTACCTGAAGTGTTATGTATTTCAGAAAAGTAGTAATGGTTAGAATAGTAATTGCTGTAAACAATAAGAGATCAGATTGCTTCCTCTGAGTTGCTGACTTGGAACTTTTTTCTTACTTGTGAAAAAGGACAGACTAGGGGACACGAAATAACCTCAGGAACCAGACACCTAATGAACTAAAGGCAGAATCTGAAGTTTTAACCAGTTATTACCAGAAATGATAATTTCTGTATGTTATCAAGTGAATGATGTTAACATGCTTGGGTGTACATTCACCTTCCTATTGAAAGTTTACAGTTTTTTTGGTCAGGAAACTTTTAACTTTCCCATATTTTTCCTTACCAGGGCTTTGAAATCTCAAGTATTTGGCTTTGAAATAAAAACACACTAGAATAATTGTCTACTAAATTCCTGTTGGTTAAATACAACATAATTGATATCATCCATGAAAAAGATGTCAAGTAGATTAATCTTATGTATCTTAACCATGGATATTTTTGGCTCTATAAGCACACTGGTCATAAAAACTGAACTTTTTTGTTTTAAGTGACATACCTAACTATATAACTAGGAATGGCAAGTATTGGCTTTTTTGTGATATCATCTGCATTTTGTTACTTTATGATTTTTACATGCTTTCAATTCAGTTATCATTGTCCTCCTCCAGCTAGCAACATACTCGTGATAAAACTGCTTTGAGTTTTGCATTTTACCGTAAAATCCATTGTTTATTAACGTCTGTAAAGAAGAGGCCAGCATTTCCATTTCTTTTTACTTGTTTTTTTTTTCTTTTTACTTGTAAGAAGCACATATCTATAATTTTCTTTGGATTTAGAAAAAGGGTGGTAAAATATTTTAGCCATTTAAAAAAATCCAGATAATACCCCAACAAGATAGATAACATGCTTCCAAAATCCTACATGTTTATCCCCGATACCACTAATTGCAAACACACCTAAGTGACTTTTAGCATAAACAATTGCATGCAGAAACGCAGGGACACAAACAGGCATAAAAACAAGTTACTCAGTACAAATGTATCAAAGTCCTACCTGGTCTCTGTCCGTGGATAAGGAGGAGACTCATCATGAAAATTAAAAATACACAAAAAATTTGCTGAAATCTCATTTTTGTGCCACACACGAGTGGAGCAATAGCTCTCAAAGTAAACCAAAAAATCTGTAAATAGCTTGTGCAGTATCGGTGTGGCTGTCCTCACATCCTAATGACAAACTCCAAGAACTGCCAGCTGCGTTTTCCAGAGAGGTTAATGATCACATCAGACAAGGTTACTGGTGCGCTGTGCTGTGGTCAGAGCCTCCCCCGCCCCAAGCCCCTCCTCAAGCCCCTCCTCCACTCCTTTCCTCCTCTCCCTTCACTCCCCTTTATTTCCATAAGCAAATATTGGTGAAATAGACCATTCAAACTTGCAGTAATTTCAGTGGGAAGTCTACTGGGGAAGTCCGGAGGAGAGGGACTTAAATTCAGTCTGGCTATGGAGAAATATGTAAAACAAGCATGATGCTGCCTCCTCTCCTCAGCATTTGCATCTGTTTAAACTTTGCATTGCCCATATTGGTGCCACATGCAGAAACCGATGGAAATGGCAGGAAGTCTCTTCTGTCCCTTTCAAGGAATTCTGATTTCTGACTTAAGATTCCCAAACGCTTTGTGCAGAATTTGTGCTGAAATGCTTTATCTTTACCAAGCCAACTACAAAGCAGTGTCTAATTATACTAAATCTCCAAATTGCTTAATTTGCGTGGGTTTTTATCATTAAAGATGCCTTAGGTTTAGGATGTTCTGAAATCCGCAAAGTGTTTATATTTTTATTTTCTAAAGTGCAATTTAAAAAGAAATGGAGATAATTTCCATTTACAAATGTCCAAATTTTTAAAGAAGGAAGTTTAGGCATGCCACAAACACATGAAATCTGTGCTCTCTTATAAATTTATGTGAGTAAAATACCAGGCCAGCATCACAGTAACAGAAATTAGAGATGGAGAGAGAACTTTTTAGTTCATTTTGTAATGAATTCAGAAGAAAAAAAGCAACCTAGCCTAGTCTTTTGCACATATGTAGTAAAAGCTTCCTTATAGGTAATAGATAGCTGGTATAAATAGAATTTACTCTGCTTACTATAAAGTAAACCTAAAAGATAGTGTAAATACACCCTGATATACAAGTAGAGCCAAAATACTAAACCTAAAGCATGTATAACATCTTATGATCTGCCAGGGATTTTGTTGTGTTTGGCTTCTTTATATTCAGGTGGTTGGTACACAACCTTGGACTTCCTAAGGTTTGAAATAAATAAACAGTTTGTCTTGATTTTACAAGTCAGTCTGTAAAATTCCTCACGTGCCTAGTTGTGCATGCAGTTTATAACAGGCAATAGCAGACAATTCTTAAAATCACTTTCTTACAATTCTGATAATATTTGCCTGTTTGGGGAACAGAAACAGTGTTAAAAGGTATTACTTTTCTATATTTGTACATCACTTTGTTAAAAAAACTTTCAGAGCCAGGGATTTAGCTCTGGTGCTGTGCCTGCCTGGCAAGTGCAAGGGTCCTGAGTTCGATTTCCAGTACCAAAATTTTTTTTTTTTTTATGAAAGGCAAAGAATTTGTTCAGATTTTAATCTCCTGCCCACCTTTTTTGTACAGTGTACTGGAAAACTACAAACTAACAGATTCAACTGTTAAATCATAGCAACCAGAGGCAATATAAATTTTAGCAATGTAACTTCAGTGAGGTTCAGTAGCCTTCTTGAATAAGATAATGATCTATCACAGACAGCAAATATTGATTTAAAATTTCTATATTTTATTATCAGGTGATCAACAATGAATTTCTAGAATACGATTGATGTAAGTGCTATAAAAGATAGTTATCCTACATCTTTATCAATCAAGATAGAACAAAGTGTCAAAGTCATGTAACCACTTAGAACATCAATTTTGTCACCTTAAACTCACATAAAATATTTAGTTTTCTACCAAAACAGTTACAGAGATTTAGTGAGAATCTTTTAAGTTTATGAAATGTTAGACATTTCTTTATATATTTTAAATTGTTCTTTAAAAATCAAAGAAGCCAGGCATGGTGGTGTACTCCTATAATCCCAGCACTTGGGAGGCTGAAGCAGGAGGATCATGAATTCCAAGCCAGCCTGGGCTACACAGCGAGACTCTGTCTCAAGAAAACTCAAAACCAATCAAAAAAGATGATGGTGTTTAAAGAGTTGCTTTTTTTTTTTTTTGGTACTGGGGATTGAACTCGGGTCCTTGAGCTTGCTCAGCAGGCAGTGAAACCACTGAGCCAAATCTCCAGCCCTAAACAGTTTTAAAGGACAGTAATGAAATGATTGTAGAGCGGATGGATGGACAGAAAGGTCCAACACTGAGGGGGAGTGACATAAGATCCAGCCTTTCTGTGGAAATCAAGTTAACAAAAGTGGTAAATCATTCATCTTAGCATTGAATAACTGGGTGTGGAGAAATCTTGGCAGAAAAGTGAAGTTAGAACAATGCAACTGGCTCTGCAAATAGTACTGTGAGTCTGCAGCTGCACCCAGATGATGAATCTTCCTTGTTTTTGTGAACAGTAACCTCATCTTCTACCCACTTGTACCATGTCTGTTTCCATTGAGCCAAACACTGTCCCGCCCAGCCTGTGTCATGCTAAGTGTGTTTCATATATACTTCAAGTAATCCACCCCAAGCCACTCTGAGATATTATTCTACCTGTTTACCAGATGAGTAAACTAACAGCGAGGGAAAGGGAATAGATGGGATTCAAATTCCACAACCTGAACTCTCAACCATTTTATTATCTTCCTTGCTACAATCCAAATTTCAGTTATTTAAAACTAACCTATTGAAGCTATTTTAAAAATAAATTGATAATTTCTTTCTTTCTTTTTTTTTTTTTGGTAACAGGGATCGAACTCAGGACCTTGCACTTTTGAGGCAGGCAGCGGAACCACTGAGCTAAATCCCTGGCCCTGTAATTTATTTCTTATACTAGGTTGGATAGTGTCCCTTCAAAATTCATGTCAATCTGAAACTCAAAATAGGGCCTTTGGACATGTAATCCTTTAAAATTGAGGTCATACTGGAGTAGAGTAAGTCCTAAATCACATATTCCATATGTTAGCTGTCCTTACAAGAAGAGGACACGGAGACACAGGGACAATACCAGGTGACAGAGGCAGAAATTGCAGTTATGCTGCTGCAACCCAGGGACAAGTGCCAAAGATTGCCAGCAATAATCAGAAGTCAGGGAGAGGTGTGAACAGATTTGCTTCTGCGTCCCCAGAAGGAGTCAATCCTATTCACTCCTTAATTTTGGATTTCTTGTTTTGAGACAGGGTCTTGATACATTGTTCAGACTGGCCTGAACTCATAGTGATTCTCCTGCCTCAGCCTCCCATGTCCTACGACTGCCACCATGCCCTGTGCTACCACGCCCTGCTTGATTTTGAACTTCTAGTCTTCTGAAATATGAAAGAGTAAATTTCTGTTGTTTTAAGCCATCCAGTTTGTGGTTGTTAAAGCAGCCCTGAAAAGCCAATATAATTGAATACATAGATATGAATATAGAATTATAAGCACATATATTCTATATATACAATTTAATAAAATATGGTGGTATATGCTGCATATTTAACAAAAGTTATTTACACCATCATAATCTTTTTAAGTTTTATCTCCATTTTACACATGTGAGAATAAACCTCAAGAAGTAAGTGACTTTCCCAAAATTAAATAACTAATAGCAAAGTCAAGACGAGCCTAGGTCCATCCACTGCTAGGCCTCTTACCCCTTGGGTTTTCATCCTGTGCCCTCACTTGCCCCAGGAATTCCTGTCTCCTTTCCCACTTTCATCTTTTACCTTCTCTATTCCATCTTTCTCTTTTCCTCCAAAAGTATTATCTGCATCCCAAGCATTTCTTCCTTTGCCCATTTCTGTCATCCCCATTGCTAGGTGTTTGAAATAAGGAATCCACCTAGATTGTTCTTCTCCCTTCCCACCTTTTCAGAGGACCTCCCCTTGATCTCCTCTCACTCTCAACACTTGGCTGAAGCCCAAGCCTGTGCCTAATAGGAAAGTGCTCCACCACTGAGCTACACCTCAGGCCAAAAGAATTCAACTTCCCAACGTGACCTTTTCTGTGAACATTTTACTTCATTCAACTCAGGCTGCTCTTTGCTCCCATCTTTTCTTCTTTTCCTGTTTTGCTCATGCTGTGTGTGACAGTTTGGATCTAGAATGTTCCCTCAAGTTTCCTGTACTGAAGGCCTGTTTTCCAGCACTATGGGATGGGAAGAGACTCAGGACTTGGAACCTTGTTGGAGGAAGGTCCCCTTGAAGGACACCCTGGGACCCTGGCTCCTTCTTCTCTCTGAGCCTGGCTGCCCTGAGCTGTCTCCTCTGCTCCATGTCCCTCCACCATGATGTCTTGCCTCACTTCAGGCCCCAAGAGGAACTAGTCCACCCTGGCTGCAAGCCCTGAAATCATGAGCCAAAATAAATCTTTCTTCCTATAAGTTTTTTCCAGGTATTTTGTCCCAGTGATGAAAAGCTAACACACCATGTGTTTCTTTTCTTTGAAAACATCTGCTCTGTCTGTCACAATTTTCCTTAATTTGATCCTGCCAGTTCTTCAGAGCTATAATTTAGTCATTCAAGATAAACTGGACAGGTCCGAGGAGGAGCTTAGTGGCACAGTGCTGGTCTGGCCTGCAGAAGGCCCAGAATTCAATCCCCAGCACCTCAAAAGGGGAAAAGAAATCAGTGCCACAGGTATCCATTAAGTACTTTAAACTTCAGCTATGTTCTAGCTTGGTACCAGGATATAATGAGGGGCCAGATATAGTTCCTATTTTGAATTTAATGTTTATTCAAATTAATAAAATTTTCATATAAAACTTGTTAGATTTCCTCTATAAGCATTTCCTGCCACCTGAAAGTAATTTTAATTCTGTTCTGGGGATCTGGAAAATTTCCTGTTATCATAGCCTTTTCACCACCATAGTATTTAATGCCTCCCTTGTGGGCTGTAATATTTCCCTCCTATTCTGACAGTTTCTTGAGGACACAGGGATTCCTGCAGAATACAGTTTCTTGGATGGAGAGAGTGTTGTTTCTCCTACTGAGGTCCTCACCAGAATCTAGAACTATTGAATTAATATTCAATTGAATGGACTGTTAGAATCAGGAGATATTTTTTAAATGCATGGATGATTCTTTGCCAGTACCATGCTGTTTTTATCACAG